TTCCTTTTTAAGTACATCAGTGCTACATACTTGCTGACTGTGTTGGTACCACTAGTATCTTGATCATGGGACCAATGGTAGTTGGCAGCGTCTCTGCAAAGCTCAGGACCTTGAATTCCTTTTCTTTTGCGATGTTCAGGAAGTTCTCATTTAGGTTGCGAAGAGCTGGTGAGTCTTCAAACACACATACATCAGTTTACAGTAGATATGTAGAACAGTTTCTCTTAAACACAAACCTTTATCTCACAGTTCATTGTGTTCGCTCACCTTTACAGAGTTCTCTGACTTCTATCGAGGGAAAGAGGAGATATCTGACGTTGACTGAGTACTCTGCCATAAAGGTGCCGTGATGAGGTACACTGTAAAACATAACGCCCTTGGTGTTCTGTAACAGCCCCTGCATGTCTGGATCCTCTGAGGCGTCCTGCAGCATCTTCTTCACAAGCAAGCCTGACAGAGAAACAAATAGAGGCGTACAGTGAGTGTAAGTCATGCAAACAGTCACATGCACGGTGCAAGCGTGAAATAAGACCAAGAAACATGTTTTTAAAATTACATTCAAGGGGTAACACTCAAACATGCTTGTGGAAGGAAAGTTCTGACAGAATACCTCCCATACTGTGGGCTACCCAGACCACAGGCCTCTCTCCAACTCCTGCCTGCTTTAACTTCTTCAGCAGCTCTCGACTTCTGTAGGCCAAAGACTTCCTGAGGAGACAAACCGGTCGTCTGTTTGGTCTGTTGGAACTGTGCATAATGAGCTCAAGAACATGTGGGATTGTAAAATCTTGAATTTAATTCAGAGTGGTATCCTAGTTAGCTTAAGATAGGCAGGATGCTGGAAAAGTTGTGCGAAATATTAAGAATATAATGTTTTTAGCAATTTCAGTGTCAGGCAAAGTTGATATTGTTTCCCCTTTAAAAGAGAAAACAGTTTTCTCACAACAGCACAACTTCACAATATGACAGTACTGTATAGCTGATTACCAGTATAGCTGATTACCAGTATAGCTGATTACCAGTGACACATAAGGACACTAGTGATTGTTTACCTCTGGTTCTCAGCAGGACACTTGGCCATCCAGTCACTGAGATGACTGTCATACTCCACTGACAGCACTCTCAGGTTTGGACAGTCAGCAGCCAGCCATGACTGTCAACAAACAAACACACAACAACATGGAATAGCAGAGAGATGAATCATTTCCTCAAGACAAATCAGCACACATGAATAAGTCTCCTGTTAGGCAGATAAACTAATCCATCGTTATATCAAAGCTTTTATTTCATTGTGGGAGGTGAACAAGGAAAACACTGAATGGTAATCATAATACGCTGCAGCAGAGAGAGAAGTTTTGGGTGTTTGTCACCTTCGGCCAGCACTCTGTGTAGTCTTCTTTGCTCTCAGCCTCTTCCTCCAACGTACTGCGGTCCTTCTGTCTCCACGTCTTAAAAGCTGCTCCTAGAATTCCGTGGATGAACAGCACGTCTGCTTTGATTGGCTGACTGGAAAACAAGTGTTTGGTTACATTTAAAATACAAAAAATACATATAAAATAAGCTCATACATCAGGAAAAATTATGTCACAGTAGAACTGAATGGAGCTAATTAAGCTTTCCTACATGTCACGTGTTTGTGGGTGGAGGACATAGACACCGTCTTGGTACTTCTCTTTCACGGTCTCCCTGTCCAGGTTGGCCAGAGCGCGAGCTGCATGAGACGCCTGCATCACATGAGGAGACTGCATCATCTCAGCCAGCACAGACACCCAGCCTGCAGGTGTTACCAGGTAAGGAAGAGGAGAAACACGTTGGATCCATTCTAACGCTTTGTTCAGGTGTCAGTTCATACAAGTCAAAGTATTAAAAAGAGAAAACACACACAAGCAGACAAATGTGCCCACGGCTAGTTACTCATGTCTGGGTGGACAGTGGTGGTGATAACATAAACGAGCAAACTAAATAACAAAGTCTTTGTCGTGGTGAATATATACATCAGAACCTCCACAATGCTCCAGGTCAAGCATAAACATAACCAGAGCTGTCTTACCCGACTGGGCTATGGCCTTGTGGACGCCTTCATTCAGTGCCAAGTTTCCTATGATACGAACAATGTTCCTCTGAATCTTTAGGGAGTCTCTCCTGAGCTGATAAACCTTCTGGAGCAGCTGTAGACCCCCATTGGCAACTATGTGGTCACAGTGGCTCTGTACCTGCAGACAATAAACTCAGAGGTAAGTAAATGATGCCTTAGTGTCAACCTCACTCTGGGTTATTCCAGTGCACTAAGATGCTTGTTCACTTATGGCCCACATTAAATAATGAGATAACAGAACTATGAGTAACTGCATGTAGACAAGGGCCCGGCAGCCGTGGTCCACACGACTGAACAGCCACACATAAGATGATAAACTGAACTTGTTTCTGAACGAGCTTTTACTTGAATTGCTTTTATACGTCGGGGGAGATTTGTGGAATCCACAGCTTTAGTGACTATGATCAGCTTTAAACAGGGAATCTGGCTAGCTCTCCACCACACCAAATCATGTTAGGATGCATAATGGAAATCTTTACCTTTGAGTGTTGGACCAGTGCCTGGAGACAGAAGGACTCCACCTTCTCAGAGGGAACAGATGTGAGGCTCTGTGCATAAGGCAGCCCATTGCCACCAAAACACCACAGACCACCCTGCAGCAACAACAACGAGTGCACTTGTAGAGACAGAACTCAAAGATTTACATTTTCTAACTTCCTGGGCAGTTATCGCTGTCCTGCTGTTTTGTGTTTGAGGCAATCACATCCTAAAGACTGAACAACTGGGACCACGTATGCATACATCTGGCGGTATTACCCTTTGTGCTGCCATGGACTGCGTGCTCTCTCTGAGGGCCATTGAGGTGAAGTACTGAACACATTTGTCCACCTCAGACTGAGGCAGAGACGCCAACAGCTGCCTCAGTTCATCCTCTGCTGACAAACCCTGAGAACATTTTAGAACATTTTAGTCCCTTTTTTATGCAGTGCTTGTGTAAAGTAAACTCCACTCTCCAAATATCCTGAACAGTAAAGTATTTCACAGATATACATACATCCTCCAAGTCACGCAGCACAGGAGGGTGTCGGAAGAACCGCAGGTCCACCCGCGGAGTTCGGGCCAGGCCCACTGCTGTCTGCTGGTCAATAACCTGGGCTGCTGTCTGGTACTGGTAATCTGCATTATTCACAACAGCTGTGACTTAATACCAGCTCTGCTCATGTATTGCAAATTAAGTTGAAGTTAGATAGAACTTTTGGAGTGTTTTACCATGCCAGTGATGATTATCTGCGAGCTCCTGCACAGCTTGAAGTCTGACGGCTTTATTGGCCGACATCGTCCTCTTCAGCAGGACCCATAACGCCACTTCATGTGGGTCTGCATCCACATTGGTGAAGTGTTCTAAGAAACACAATCACAGAACCAGCTGAGCGACTCAACATTCACAGGATAAAACTGAAAAGTGTGCTACTAGTGTCTCTAATTACAATTTAAAACTGCTTTTAAACGTGCTCTACTGGGCTAATTACCTCTATCTACAGTTCCACCTCTACATTATAATAACAGCTACAGAGTCATATGACAAACCTTTGGGTAGCAAACCTTGTGTCATCAAGTTGGCAGCTTTCAATTTGTAAAAGGTCAGAAGATATTTTTTTAAAGATTTCACCAGAATATAATTCTGTAAATAAGCTGTAACATGTTCCTATAATCCTAACAAACAGCATGAGTGGTTAGTACAGCACTAACAACAGAATACAGTCCAACTCATATACATTACAGTGAATCCCAGAATATACACGTTGGTGACACTAAAAACAGGATGTGCATGAACAGAGCAGGTGTTTCCTTTGGTCTCCATGTACCCACCCCACAGAAAACTGACTGGACAGCTGTGCTTCTGTCAGGATAAATGTTTGCGACCATGTCTGCCTTTCAATCCAAGAGCTTTTAGGGGATATACGATAGTGTCACAATGCGCACTATTTGCTTGATTTTTTTCAGGTGAACTGGTTTGAAAAGTTGTGGTGTCTTACCATCGAGGGATCGCAGGAAAAGCCTCGAGGATATTTCCAGAAACCGTCTTGCTGCTTTATGAAGTTCCCTCCTTGCTTTGTGTGTAAGTCCTGGAACAGACGCACAGTGGAAAACATCAACCACCAAACAGCCCCTTCTAGAAGATCTGAATTATATTTCTATAAAAACACTTCAAAGACAACTGAAGCTATCTAGTAATGGTTGCTAGTTGGTATTTTAGTATAAGTTAGTGGTGATTGTTTCCATGAAAAAGTCAACCTAGACCAGTGGAAGTGAGATCAGTCAACAGTGACCCAGAGTTTCAAGCAGGAAAGATGGTAAGAAGGGGAAGAACAGACAGGAAGAGACGAGAGCAGATGTTTCTGGCCAGCTGGACACGACAAACTCAGTATGACATTTTGTTCATATATGAACAAAAATACAACTGCAGTGTGTATCTGTTATATTCTACCCTTTGTTTTGAACATATGGGAGTAAGAATGTGTTGTTCTATCACATAATATCTACAACAAAATGGACGTCATGAACGAACCGAGTACGAACTACACAGGAAGTGATGGTGGGCTGATGGTAAATGGGGTCATTGACCAGAAACCAGAGGCTTGTAACGACATAAAGACTCAGTGAGGCTGTTGCACTCCTCCTGAAGGGTTTGGTGAAGTTGGTGGGTATTTTAGAGGGCAGGATCAGATTGTTAGACGTGATGTCATCTTCATAAAACTGCATTTTATTGTTGCTTTATATAATTACTGGTGTCTTTGGACGGGTCACGTGATCTGATCACCTGATGAGGATTAAATCAGTGGTGATGAGGTGAACGTCTCAAAAACTTTCTGCTCACGATTGACCTTTTCTAACCAAATAATGGAAATTAGATTTTTAAGTTTTTTATGTAAGAAAAAGGACCATTTGCATTTTTTATTTGTATTTTTGTTCACTTAATATTTGCCACATAACATCAGACTGGTGTGGGAAGGAGGACAATGTCCACAAACAAAACATCTCTAGATAGTCTTTTTCTTCTAAGTTTTGAAATGACACATAAAGTCCAGCTGTAGTCATGAAGTCACACTGAGGGATGTTTGTTGTTACCTGCAGCTAGGTTGTCCTTTTCATCTGACGGAGTGGCTTTCAGGTAGATGTAAGACTTATATTTTTCCTGAAGAATTGCACTAGTGTCAATGCTTACAGCCTTATCCAAGGCTACCACCTCGTAAGTAATAAACAGACAGCCCCTGCAGAAAGCAGAATGGATAAACTGGCACAGTGGTAATTATTTCACACAAATTACAGAGATGACATTTAGTAATTCAGGCGTCAAGTATTAAAATCTGCATGTTCATTATGCAGCTTACCCCAACACAACGGCTCCAGTCACTTTAGCAACTTTCCCTAAAGTTCAACAAAAAGAGGATCTTTATGAATGGTTTCAAACGGATCTCACGTTAAGATGAACTCGGTGCATTGACAGTAATTGGGTGTATTAGATTCCTGACAGTTAGCTGTGTAGTCGTGGCCCAGTCATGTCCAATAACTTACTGAAGTCTTTCCACTGCAGGACTTTCTTCACACCGGGCGGCCCAGCGGTGCTCAGCCTCCGACAGCGGATCAACCGGAGAGCTGCTCCCGACATGCTTCCCCTGGATGTGTGTCAGCAAGTCAGTGAACACACCAAACACAGCCCAGTCCTGCTCCACACCAGACATGTAGATGTCACAGAGTCAGACGTGTGGATGATTACATTCAGATTAAGCTAATTTAACGTGAGGCACGTTTATAATTAGCGATTCAAGTTACATGAGACAAAGCTGTCCTGGTAATTAGACTTGGTTTGATAACCTGAGCTGCACGGCTTTAATGACAAAACAAACAGCCAGTGCAACTCGTGACACCGTAAACTAACTCATGTAACAGCATCAACTCATTCACATCCAGCTAACGTTAGCTAGCGTAGCTTAACTTGGAATAACACATGTAGGAGCGGCTGCCACCACTTCCACTGTCACTCAGTCTAAACACACACAGTAAATGACAATCAGGTCCAAGTTTCACTCAGGTAAGTCATTAAGGCTGACATAAGAGCTCCAGCTGAACTGACGCTAGATTAACAGTAAGCTAACAGTAACTTGCTGGAGGTTTAGTTAGCTTCTGGCTAACGTTTCCCTTGTGGGCTTTCCGCTGCTTACCGAGCTGACGGACAAAGTTAACCCGTGGCTGAGCTGTGGGTTCATTTCTGATTAATGATCAATGAATTTACCTTATTTTCTGAAGGAGAGGTTTTCAAAGAAGTACGATAATGTCCTCCACGACTGCAGCCGGTGTTCATAAACACAGCGTCCAACTGTCTCACAAATAATACGTCATCAACTCCATCAGCAACAATACAAACACTTACAAAATCATGTTTTCATATAGCATCGCGATATTTGCGTGGTTGTACAACTATCATTGTCCACTGCCAATGGTCTGTTTTTGTTTGTGCATTTGAGTTGTTCAGAGGATGGCTCTTCTGTTGGTCTGGAGTGTGAAGTTAAAGAGCTCCGGGGACACCAGTGTCCTTCAACTCCCGGCTCTTACTGTAGTAAACTGCTTCCCCCATCAGGAAACAGCAGGGACATGGTCGTAAACACTAGCTGTGTGCTTCAGATGGGTTGACAGAATCATAACACAGCTGGAAAATTTAAGAATTCCAATTCAACTGTTATACAGTCAAAACAAAATCAAAACTATAGTGTTCCCGATAGCAGGTGCTGGTGCCAGTGGTACTGACTCATCATCAGGTCCTAGTTTTTGGTGGTGGTGTAACCGATTGTATTCTGGATCATTCGTTTAGAAGTTGTTCCAGTTTTGTGTCCGGGATGTACTATATCAACATCACAATCAACATCTGTCGAACACGGTCAACAGAGACAGAACTGTTTGGTCGCGTCATTTTAAAGATGTTATATTTATTATATCCTGTGTTTCTTTCTGTAGGGGAAAATTATTGATTTGTGTGTGCTTGCAAATGTCCTCTAGACCAGCTACAGACCACAGCTTCTGTATGAAACCGTTTGATTCTTGCTTTTATTGCATTAACTTAGGAGCAGACTTACATTCAGACCATACATACATAGAAACACGCCTTACAACTAATGCCCTCCTTTTTGTGCCTTTCTCACACTGACACACACCGTTCATGTCAACACACACATACAAACGTAGTTATTATATCGTATACTGTAACTCTGTACAAACACGTGTGAAGCATCAGGTCAGTCTGTTACATTAATTTGCACAGATATTAAATTCACACATCTGCCCTTTATTAACGACAGGTTAACACGCACTTTTCTTTTTTTAGACTCCAAATATACAATAATTATCTCTGGTCTTTGCATAGTTATTATATCACCTGCAGAGACAAAGCAACCTTGCATAGACGCCCAGCCAACGGTACATGTTTGAACATTTCCGTATCTGTACATATACACCAAAACGTACAAACATTCTGTTGTTTCAGAGTGTTATTATGCTGAGCAGGACGCATAGTTGGCTTTGACCTCTTTGTTTGCTCCACCCAGCTCCACCTCATGGTATAAATCAAGATTGATTTAGTCCAGTTTTATCTGTAAATCCATTTGCAACTCATCAGTTAGTATCTGCCTGGCGCTCTCACTCCTCTCAGGTGCATGTTTCCTGATAAGCCCTAATGATGCTCTCATAAGCTGGAGGTGGTGTTTGTGTAGCTGGGAAACCCCTCAGACCATTGTTGCCCCAAAATGACTCGGGTCTTGATGGAGTGGAGGCTGGCTGCGCTGAGCTTTGTGCTGATCCAGTGGACATGGTCAGAGTCGGTGTGCGAGGCAGTGTGATTTGGCTGCCCTCCTCTGCCTCCCTTGCGATTTGGCTGCACTGGAGGAGCGGGTGGAAAGTGGAGGCCCTGAAGCTGGATTTGTGCCCCAGTGGGTCAAAGTTTTCTGGGGAGGATGTCTGGTGGTGGAAGCTGAATGCAGCGCTGACTAAACTGTTATTGCTTCGGCGGTCGTAGCTGCTGTTGCGGTGAAAGCCCGGACGGTTGCGAGAAGAGGTGTGCGAGTGGCGAGGCGAGTGACGGGTGATGCTGGCCGAGCCTGCCTTGCGTCGGGACATCCAAGTCAGTAGCACGTAAACCAGGGCGCCCAGGAGCAGCCCCACCGCCATGGACACACAGAAAGCTATGATTAGAGGGACTGTAAAGAGAGGAAATATCAAGAGGGAGGTTTTTATGATCTGTGCTGCAGTATGCATTTTTTTCACAAACATTCTACTTTTCAGGATCAGTGCAGGGACAAGAGTTCTTGAGTTATCCACATTCAGTACATCTACATGCACTTCATCTTTATTGACAGGCTTTTTTTAATCACCCCTTGGGAATGGAAGGAATTTTAATTAGAATCTGTGGCCCTACCGAGATCACAAAAAACATCTGCTTTTAACAAATGGAGCTTTGCCAATAGTGTCATGAACGATGGTTCTCCTTAATGTCGTAGTCGGCTTTCTGCTCTCATGTTTACCAAAGCAAGTCAACAAAGTGACTGCATCTGACTCCTACATAAACAGCTCTGACTTTCTGCTCGATGTTTCTCTGCCTTGGAAGAAGTAAAGCCAACATAAACATGCTTGAGAGACGAGAGAGAATGCAACGGATAAGACAAATCTTGTTGGACTTATTCCAGGGCAAACAAATCAGTTTCCTTTCAGGACCGTTAAGCGTTAAAAAGACCGAGCCTGCTTTGTTGCTAACCCACATTTCCACAACAGTTTCAGCCTAATTTTGGGAACAGGGAAAGCACACGCTGGTCAAAAGTCATCTGGAAATGACATTTAGGAAACCGGAGAGAAACATCTGCCAAGAAAACACATCAGTAGCTTACAGATTTGGATTCTTCAAACTATTCTGTGAATATTCAGATTAGTTTGACAAAGTTCTCTCCAGAAGGAACTTGACCCACATGTTGGATCTATTCCAGGGGTGATTAAAGCTTGAATTCTTGAGGGAACAACGGCGCCAATCAGAGCAACCACATGAAAAAGACAGATCTAAAGAGGAAAAAACTGCAAGAAAACTCACCAGCATCGAAGGACTCAAGTATTTCCAGGAAGAGATTTGTGTTGTTCACAGCCATGACTGAGTCAGAGTGAAGGAAGAGAGACTGACACTTAGATCAGTCTGTCTTTTACTCTGTTCTTCTCCCTTCTCGTCTTCTAAGTTCTTGCCTGTCCTTCTTTTCTCCTGATGGGTTTTCCTGTCTTTCTGCCTCGTCTCTTCCTGTTCCCTTACTTTCTCCCTCTCTCCTCCCTCGCTCACTTTCTCTGTCAGTGTGTCTGACTCCCTCAGAGGGAGACTCAGCCCAGAGGCACACAGGACTGGCGGCTAACTCTGGCAGTCATCTTGTTTATGGAAGCGGAAAACTACACTGTCACATTTCCTGCTTTTCTGCTTGAAATTAGCAACAGGAGTGGCTTATCTGTCCAGGACAGAGATCCTGGAGGTGGGGACACAGGGTGTTTCTATAATCACTTCCTCTCCCATCATTTCCTTCAGGTTGATTAATGTAAGAAAGTATCACCACGGCAGCCTCAGAGTCAGTCCTTCATCTTTCACCAGAGGAAGGTCCGCCACACTCACCAATATTTTTCTTCCGTTCAGAAATGATAAATATTTCAAGCTCTCATATTTTTCCTTTCCACCACAGACACCGCAGATGGCAGTTTTGCTATTAGCTGCACCAGCAGTTACAGTTCTTGGCCTGAAAGGGGTGTTGAAATCCACATCTGGGACTGGTGGTGGAAAGTTTGTAAGTGCTTTTAATACTCAGTTGTAGTGATGCAAAAAGTGGTAGTATTCTGGTGCATTTTAAACCGTGTGTGAGTTTGTGGTAGCTGCCTGACTTCCAGCATCTCAGTCTTTCCACAGTGTCTGCCAGGTCAGTGGTCCCTGGATTGGACGTCTGGTCCGTTCTCGGTTGGAGAGATCCAGTAAAAACACTGTAGTCTGATAAGATAGAAAAGCACCAGCATGTAACTTCAAGATTTTTTCTGTCCTTGACAAATCAGTATGCAGTGAATGAAATCTAAGTTCCTCACGCTCCTCAGTCCTGATCCCACACTAAGCATTGTTTTAATTCACTCTACAAAAATCTGCAAGGTCATCAGTGTAGTCAGACAGAAGGATGCAAGTCGTCATGTTGGTATGCGTCTAATGTAGGCCGGCCTGTTTGCTCCATCATCTCTCATTCAGTTCATCCCTCATCCTGACTTCAGTCTCAGCATTAACTGAGTCAACATATTAACTCCAGTTAAATTAAATTAGAAAAAAGAGAAGATATTCTGCCTAAATCTTTATGAGTGTATTATATTATGAGGCTGAAAAGCTTGAGCCCTTTCAGTGGCAAAGAGACAGAGGATGAATAGCCTGACCAGAGCCTCAACTTCCTCTAATTGTTGGCTCTGCTATAAAACTGAAAAACCAGCAAGCACCCATAACAAACACTCATAACTAATAGTATGTGTGGCCATTGTGTCCTGTTGTAGAGAAACTAGGCGGTAATGGACTGTTGTGTTCATAGGTGGAGGAGACATTCTTTGAGCTTTATAGCTTAAGTTCATGGCATAAATCTAATTGGGTAGAGTGGTGGGAAATTACACCGTGCAGTCCTTAATGCCTCCGTAAGGAAATGAGCTTTCTGTGCAGGCTTCAAGGATTTAGGCAGCAATGAAGGATATACTATATTATTGAGTTTTAATATCACATAGAACAGTGAGGAGTTTCTAGATCTGCAGATTTAAAGACATTGCTGGTGAGGGGAAGAGATGGATGGATAGATGGATAGATAGATGGATGGATGGGTAGATAGATGGGTAGATAGATAGATGGATAGATGGATGGATGGATAGATACTTTATTCATCCCTTTGGGGAAATTCAAGGTTACCAGGAGCTACACACGTTAGCGACACAAACTCGTGTACATGCTAGTAGCTCACACACCACAGATAATGGAACGTTGTACTAAAGAGGTGGTGTTTACAATAAAATGGAGTCTTATAGAGCACAAAAAGTAAGCCATATGTACAACAGCTCCCTGGCTGGTCCTGTATGATGCATGCTGGTTAGAAAGGAATGCTAACCACCAGGAACAGTCTCTGCTACTGTGTGTGTTCCTTTTATTGGCTTCCCAGTAGATGGAGTTGTACTGCAGGAGAGTTTCATGGCTCACCACTTCATAAAACCTGAAAGTCTTAGAGAGCACACACACATGCCTCATATTTAACATTTTTAACGTTATAACCTTGTTGTATGTTGGGCTGCAGACATTGATGTGATTTAAGTGACAGATGTGTCCTCTTCAGGAAAATCACTGTTAGTTGTCGATTAACTTGCTTATTTAGACATAAACTAGATTTGCAGTTCAGTATTTTCCTCTTTGCCGCTGTGTTGATTTTGACATACAGGTCGACAACCAACTTCTAATGAGATTTTAGGAAACCGCTGACTATGTATGAAAGAGATTACCACACTGGCGGTCCTGGTCCCGGCTCCTTGCCTGTGCAATGATTAGATAAGGAAACGGATCTTAAAAGGCCAGGTTTGGCAACTATTGAAAGAGTTTCTATTGACCTGAGTGCTTTGTCTCTGCTCTCTGCTCCCCTCTGCTGCAGCATTGTCTGCTCTCTCTTTTGCTGAATCTGTTTGGTCCTGGGGGACTCTGAACGGTAGAGGTCACCTCAACTGAGCTGCGTGAAAATGTACGAATCAGCAGTCCATCCCTGCTGCCGAGCAGCCGGCCAATCCAACTAAATCCCACAACATTTCAATGCAGCGGGCAAGTCGAGCAGCAGATTCTGATGCCTGTACATCCACAGGGCTGAAGTGCTGACAGAGCTGAATCTGAATAGGGGGTAAATCATTTGCCCCTGGCTAGTTAAGTGTGTTTTGTACTTTCGGTAGATTATTTTATGTCTTGTTTTTGTGATATTTTAACAGAAGTAGTTTTATTTTTTGAGTGAGAGTTTCGTGCTCCATGTTTCCTACAGTCTCTATCATAACCCTCCTCACCATTCAGGAGTGTTATTTACTGCAGTAAACATCATGTTTACTGAAGTAAATAAACAAAACAAAAACTGTACACAGCAGAGCATCAAAACGCTGCCGAGACAATACAGAAATCTGAACATCTGGACACACAAACAGCTTGTGGAGGACTCGACCATCGATAAAATACGCCTCATTGACCTGCTGCCGATCATTTACCAGAACTGAAGAATCTGCAATCAGTGATAATTTATGAGTTTTTTTCATGTCCACTCCTGTGTCTCCTCTTACTGAAGGATGTTTTGGCCGGAGCATTGCAGCTCCTCTTTCAGCTCCTCTAAGAGCTCTCCTGAGATGATGATGAAAGGACTTGTCTAATGGGATTACACATCGTGATAAGTGCTCAGAGCCCAGTGGTTCCTCACACCTCCCTTCTGCTTCTCAAAAAGTGGCATTGATCTTTAGTGGAGCAGCATCTTGAATGTTGTGCTTTACAGAAATGCTCTATGGACGGAGGTGTGTTCTGATAATCAGTCGTCTTTTCTGACTAGTTTTGGTTCCAGCTTCGAAATTTGCATACATCTTGTAAAATTATGTTTTGGGAGAAATCTGTTCCTCCTGTGTCATGTTCAGAGTCCCAGTTGGCTGTTTCCGACATGAAACAACCGACTGACATGATTTGATTTGAGAAATGGACCAATTCCCCCTTTAACCTGAGCAGCAGAAGAGCAGCCTGTGGAGGTGATGTCATGACATAATTCATGCAGCGGCTCAATAAGCTGTGAATTATGAAGCAACCCACAGGACTCTATGCAGCCGCACGTTTTCTGAGTCACAACTGGAAGCTCTAGTTTTAATTTAGCTTTTATTTTTTTACTATGTGTGTACATACTATGAACACAAAGACCTTTATCCTTGTATTTTGTAGAATATTTAGGTTGAATCCTGTGTTTCTGGAGGTAGCCTTGATGCAGGAATACCCAGTAAATCTTGGTTAGAAGAAATGAGTAAAGACCACTGATGTCCAGTCAGTTTTATTTAGAGAAGAAACACTAGAATAAACAGAAGCTGTTCATCTAGTTATCATAGTTTTTCATCACTGATCATTCAACAAGCACAGCTTTAGCATGAAACACAGTTATTGTCCAGAAATACTCATGAAACCACAGAACGCTGACACAGTCACATCAGTGAAAGCAAGCTTCGATATTATTTTACTGTAAATGGATTTTTAACACATGTACATAAATATATTCATATTCATCAGTCTACACCAGCCTGGACGCACCGGTTTCATTAATTGTTCCCATGGTTTATATTTAGCTCGTCTTGTTTCAGAACATTTAACAGCTTTTCTCCATTTGCTCCAGTAATTAGTTTTATTTGTCGATATAATACTTGGACTTTCATTCTTCCTCCATTCGTGGTCAATGACTTTATTCTCAGTAAGTCGTTCATTTCAGTATTCCAGGTGGGAATACTGAGTTAGGTAACCCTAACCCTAACCCTTACTCAGAGGGATACGGGATGATGTGACTGGTATCAGGCATTAAAACAAAAATATCAGCATCAGCCCAGAATGAACATTAACATGAAGGAAACACCTGTGAGGCTGTAAGTTATGCAAGTTTAAAAATCAAATATGTCTTACTTACAAGCTGAAGTAGTTATTTTTATTCTGCCCAGTCAATGTAAAGCCTGGTATTGTCTGTATGCACCTGCTAACAGACGGTCACAATAAGAGCAGCCACAGGATTAGAGTGGTGGTTACAGTAGAGGAGAAACGTGATGCTCTCTGCCATGAGGTGAAACAAACAATGTGCATATATCACTATCTGCAATACGTTCTGCAAATTAAGCTCATTTACAGTAGATGTGATATTTTATTAGCCCACAAAAGGAGTCTGATTAATTTGCAACAGCCTTAGAAAGTATCGTGTCATTAGTTAAAGTGTCATCGCTCTGATTTTCAGCCAAATTAAACAGTCAATAGCTGACTTTAAAATCCCAAACCATGGGATCCTCATGATGCTGATCCTTCTCTGGCTTTTATTTTACAAATGTTTTGTCTCCATCACAGCTTTCCTGCAGCTGCTTTTGTTTTCTCCTGTTCTCACGTTCTGCCTCCCTGCTGAGATGCCGTCTCTGCACACCTAAAACACAGCACGCCCACCCTCCTTCGATGAGGAGCAGCACCAGGAGAACGGGACCTGTTCCTAACTATTGTCTCGGTGAGATGGAGGAGCACTCCTTCTGATTGGACAGCAGGTGGCAGTGCATGCAGCCCCGGCAGCCATCCTGTCTGTAGAGCTGAAGCACTGAGGCGAGGGAGGGGG